CCAGACACTAGTGGGAAAGACGTTTAGACTTGGGGACGGAGCTGGTCTGAGAGGTGTTGGAAAGGAAAGGGTGGCGAGCTGCTGTGCGGGCCGCCTGGAAGGGGTTAAATTAAAGCACTCTGGCGTTGGAAGTGCGGGGAGGGGAGTGGAGCTGAGGGAAGGATTAAAGGGCAGGGAGGGGGAGGTTTCGGGCGCCCGAAGGGTTAATTTAAAATGACAGCCCCAGCCTAGTGGGAAAGACGTTTAGACTTGGGGACGGAGCTGGTCTGAGAGGTGTTGGAAAGGAAAGGGTGGCGAGCTGCTGTGCGGGCCGCCTGGAAGGGGTTAAATTAAAGCACTCTGGCGTTGGAAGTGCGTCGGGAGGGGAGGGAATGGCAGCTGTTGCTGTAGCCACCCCGCTGCTGCAGCATCTCCGCAGGGAGGGTCGGTCTCGGCCTCGGAGGGGGCGGGGGAGAGAGTTTGTAATAGGAATCTGAGTTCGAAACACGACCCACAGTCCAGGTCCCTCGTATAAGCGGGATGTTTGAAACTAGGAGGTTTTCGTGCGTCAGGGGCAGCAAGCTTGTTACATACACCAAGTAGCGCTCATCCCTGCTTTAGCAGTCTCGGGGTAGTAGGGCAGTCCGGTAGCCTTTCTCTGTACCTCAGAGGAGCAAGCGTGGTCCCGGGCTGTTTGCACTGCAGCCCAACTTAAGGGCACCTCTGCAATAGATGGGCTCCTTGGGAGGCTGGGTGGTGGGGTTCCTGTGCGAGCTGCCTTTCAGCTCCTGAAAGTGAACGTCGGTTCTACAATTGCCGTGTTCAGCCGGCAGCATCTCTCTCCTCTCCATCCGCCCCCCACAAGGCTGAGCCAACCATCGAGGACTATTCGTTTTGCTTTCCTTCCAAATGAATCGAATCAGGCTGCTTACTGGAGAACGCCTTCTGCAAGGTGGAGCGGGAGCGGACAGCTCTCGTTAGAATCCGCCGCGGTGTTGGTTCGTGGAAGTTACTGTATATTTAGGTGGCACTGCTCAGCCACTGTACTGCAGTCTCAGGGTGCCATGGTACTGTAATTGCAACACATCATCTCTGAACAGGGGGAGGGGGCGGGAAGAGGAGGGCCAGCAAGGGTGCAGGGAGCCAGGAAATGTCACCCACAGCTCATGGTTAAGTAACGCTGAGGCTTTGGATCAGAACAGGAGATGGGCAGGGAGCCAGGCTGGCAAGGGGTGCTGCTGGCGGCATTTGAGGTGCTGCTGAGTCCCGAGGTGGTGGCCCACCGTGGGCTCGCCAGAGCAGGGGCCCTCAGGGGTGAGGTAAGTGAAGTGTCCAGCTTGAACCTGGCAGTCGCGGCCTCTGTTGTATGTTGCAGTCCGAGTGCTACCCGAGCTTGTTTTACTCCAACGGTGGTGTGAAAACTGCCAAAGTCTGTGCCTGGATGTAGTGAAGGCATCACCAACGTCTCTGCCCTCTGGTAGACAAAACCCTTGTTGTAAGATGTAAGCAGCACAATTGGCACCTTTTCTCAAAACCGAGCTAATGTGAAGTTTCTGATGGTAATAGACTTTCATTTACTTGAGTATGCGGTCCTTTTTAATTAAAGCGCAAAGGATTTGGTTTTAAGGAACTCTTCAATAAAGAGCTGTACACATCTTTTCTGTGTTTCGAATGTGAAGTGTGTGTTCATGGCCCGTTTTGGTGGGCTGTATGTTGCTGGTTTCTAGTGTAGTTCTTTGACACGGAGTGTTCACTGCTTTAGAAAGCCCTCCCTCCCCCGAACACGCGCCACTTTGAAGTGACACTGCCATCCCTGCGATACTCCTAATTCCCTCTCAAAGTTTGTTTGGACGTTACTTCTGTGTACAGAGTTTGGGGGTTGAAGTAGAGGGTAGGACTTAGTCTTAGGACCTCTGAAGAGAAGATGGGGCTGGGGTGTAGCACAGAGGGCTTGGCTAGCCTATGTAAGGCCCAGGTTCTATCCCCAGCATCACCAAAAAAATAAAGACAAAAGTGAAGAACTTACATAATGTTAACCTGGAAATTCCCAGTGACTGAGCCCCTTGAATATAGCAGCGGCAGAGATGAGACCACAGCATTTTAAGGCCTGCCCTGGCCCCTCCCAGCCATCTTCTTTCAGAAGAATGACTATGAATTCCCCTGTCCGTGCCTCATCCCATCTTGGTTCGCCCCTAAAATTAAACTCTACATTGACTTCCCTGTTGTGTTTCAAGAAGACCGTTCAGATTGATGTCTGATGATTTGAACTAAGCTGAATGGTGCTGGGGGTCTACAGTGATGGGCAGCACTTGCCTAGCCTGTGTAAGGCCCTGGTTTGATCCCCAGCACTGTCGGAAAAGAGAATCAACTGGATAGAGTCCACAGAAGGACGCAGGAGATGGTGCTGTTCCTGAGGGGGGCTACGTGGCTGTTTAAACATTTTTGTGTTAAGTCTGCATTTTGCCACTCTTTTTTAGCTCCTTGCTCGGATTGAACGTATGGAAAGACGGATGCAGCTGGTAAAGAAGGATAATGAGAAAGAAAGGCACAAGCTGTTTCAGGGCTATGAAACTGAAGAGAGAGAGGAAACTGAACTCTCTGAGAAAATCAAACTGGAGTGCCAGCCAGAGCTCTCCGAGACACCCCAGCCTCTGGCTCCCAAGCCTTTCTCGTGTGGGCGGAGTGGAAAGGGACACAAAAGGTGTGCCGATGATGCAGTTGTGCTGTTGGGACATGAGGAGGACACTTGTTACCACAGACCAGGGGTAGGGGATTGGGATTTATGGATTGGTTTTATAGCGTCCACAGCCTAAATTACGCAGTCTTCTGTGCTGAGAAACTGTCTTAAAACATCCTTGCAGCCTATGAGAAGTCCGTAGGGTCCTCCCGACCCAGTATTAATTACGGGATGCTGAGTGCACCAGAAACAACGGGCAACAAACACAATGTCGTTGTTTTCTTAAAACTAGTTGTTCACATTAGGCTCTGGAAGACATAAGAAATGAACATGTGGCTGGGATGTAGCTCAGTGGTTCCACCTCCTGCCACACAAGCGCGAGTTCCTGAGTTCAATCCCTGGTACCAAAAAGAAAAAGAAAAAGAAATGAACATGTAGCTGTTCTTGTGTGCACAGAAATTAGACTGTAAGGATAAGCAAAAGCTTTGAAAACTGAGAATTCAATGCAATAAAATATGCAGAAAAAACATTGATTAAAAACTGTCTTTTAAAGATTCTGCAATAGTAAAGACTGTTCTGAGTTGGAACCCTGAAACTTGAGGTGGTGTTGCAGTATAGAATTGGGGTTGGCAAAGAGGAAGAGAAACGAGAGGAGGGTGAGCCAGCAGGCAGCAAGAAAAAAGTAGGGACTGCAATGAATATGGTGCAGGGTTGGGGGTAAGGGGCTGGTTTCTGGTCCACAGGGATGAAGGAGGTGTCGCAGAGTAGCGGTGCCTGGTGTTGGCTAAAGGACTTTGAATAAATTAGGAGCATTTCTTAATCTAGATGGTAACAGGATACTATTAGAGTATGATGCTGAAATTTATTGTTGAACAACCATTTACTCCTGTGTGTGGTGGCGCATGCCTGTCATCTCAGCACTCTGGAAGGCTGAGGCAGGAGGATTGCAAGTTCAAGCCATACTCAGGCAACTTAGCAATACCGTCTCACCAAGTTTTTCTGTTTTTTTTTTTTTTTTTTTTTTTAAGATTGGGGATGTAGCTCAATGACAAGGTTCTAGTTTCCATCCCCAGTACCACAATTTATTAAGCCTGTTCTGTATGCTGTTAAGCATGAGGCTGTTACTGCTCCTGGCTTGCAAATAAGCATCAGATAATTAGGTACCTTGGATACCGGTTATTTTGGGGCAAGGGAACAAACTAGTTATCTTGCCCCAAAGTATATTCAGATCAGATTCCATTCACGAGTCAATTTTGTAATGTTTTCTTCCCGTCTACTAGGAAAACCTCATTTGGAAGTACAGAAAGAAAGACTCCTGTTAAAAAGCTGGCTCCTGAATTTTCAAAAGTCAAAACAAAAACTCCTAAGCACTCTCCCGTTAAAGAGGAGCCCTGTGGTTCCTTGTCCGAAACTGCTTGTAAGCGTGAATTGAGGAGCCAAGAAACCCCAGAGAAGCCCCGGTCTTCAGTGGACACCCCTCCGAGACTCTCCACTCCCCAGAAGGGACCCGGCACCCACCCCAAGGAGAGAGCCTTCTCCAGCGAGACCGAAGACCTGCCGTACCTTTCCACCACAGAAATGTATTTGTGTCGTTGGCACCAGCCTCCCCCGTCACCGTTACCATTACGGGAATCCTCTCCAAAGAAGGAGGAGACTGTAGCAAGTAAGGCATAGAGAACACTTGCTCTTATACCCTAGTGGTGGCGGTCAAGCTAACAAGTGTGAAAATGCCTTTGGCATTTTTTAAAAAGTGCAATCAATAAAGCAGAGTTCTGTCAAGGACGAGTAAGTTAACAGCCAGAGACAGACACTGTGCAGGCATTGCAAATAGATGGAATCACAGCAAAGTGTGCTCGTTGTATTTGCCTGCTTACAACCTGGGAGATGTGTTTGCCAGTAAGTTGCTCGTCACAAGAGCACCAGACTCGGGGGTGTATTCTCCGGCAACTTGCATGCCCTCTGAAAGAAGGGTTTTCTGTGCTGGGAAATGCATAGAACCTACACTTTGCCATGCACGACTGTTCCTGCAATCGATACTGTGTGAAACCTGGGAGGGTGGTCTTTGGGGCTCTCAGGGGCCACTGGTCATTTTTGGTTGGGGAGCCAGCTCGGGTGGGGTGTTTCACCGGGGCCTCCACTCTTCCACTATATAAACATTCATCTGTATCTCTGTGTCCCGGTCTGGGGGCAGGAGGAATCTGCCAAAGACCAGCAGTCTTTCTTATCCTACTCTGCTTCACAAAGGTTCTAAAATGTGAAGAGTTTACTTGGATTGCAGTAGCCCATTCATTGTTCATATATTTAAATAAAATGGTCTACAAACTATTTTTCAAACAATAAGGACTATCTTGGGATATCTGAGCCGCTTGGGGAGGGTGCGGGACGTGGGACGTTGGTCTTCATTCCTTTTTGTTTTTCTTTATGGCTTCCATACAGGGATACTCCCTCTCTCCTACATCAGCCAGTAACTGGACTGTGTCTTCAGTGGTGTCCTGTCAGTCTGTGACAGTCGCTCTGGGTGCTCCGGGGCGGTGACGGGGACGCCTTCTTGGATAGAGCCTCATGCCCTAGCAGGGATGGGGATGAGAATCCATTCCACTGAGCTGAGCGCATTCTCCAGGCTTTGTTTGGTTGTGCTGGTGACAAAATTCAGTGGGGAAGGCAGATGAATGATCTAACACCCATTAGGCCTCACGTTCGAGTCCATGAGTAGCGCAGGATCCTGATCTAGATGCCGATTTTTTTGTTGGGTCAGTCAGTTGAACAGGTTCATTTTTGAGGGTTAACTTTTTCGCTGCCGTGGCAATGCTGTGTAACAACTTAAGGGAAACCGTGAAGCAACTTCCCATCTGGAATGGGGAAATGACTTGGCCCAGAGCTGTTCTGTGTGACTGGCTCTTTTTGAAAACCCTGCCTGCCCTGGTGCGGCAAATTGCAGACCCTTCTGTGATTGCGGGCGTAACTGAAGGCGTGTGAGCAGGGCGGTCCTGACCCCCTGGTGGATGGAGTCTCTTATCCATGGCCGTGTGGGAACCTTACTCTTGATGGCCCTGTCGCAAGAGGAAGTCAGTGGCTTGTTCTAAGGAAGCCACAGTTTTTGTGCATGTTGTTCAGGCTGGACCAGCGAGGTGTAGTTTGCTTGGTGGGAGGAGGGGGCTGTTCAAGAAGACTACATATGTAAGTTTTGAGAACACTGATCTTGTATTTGAAAAATAGGGTCAACTTTTACTCACCTGCCATGTTCTGAGTTTAAGGTTTGATATCCTTGGCCATCAACTGTTGCAGGGAAACCACCCTAAATAATGAAGAAAAGAAGTCGTCTCAGTGTAAAAAAAAAAAGTGGTGGGCTTATTTTCTTTTCTTTTGTCTGTTGTTCCCTCTTCCCCTCCCCCAGAGAGAAATTCTCAAAAGAACAACTCAAAAACCAAAATGGCTTCCTACTGAGAACTTCAGTGATGATCCTTTCCTCCACTTTGGGTATGGGCTTTTTTCCTTTTTACACTGAGATGATTCTTCTTTCCTGCATTATTTAGGGTGTCTGCTGCCATCAAGTGTTGCAGGAGAAACTTCAGTCTTGGCTGGTGAGTAGAATAGGACTTGTGCTGGCTGGGCCTGGGGTGGGGGTGGCGGGATGGAGGAAGGTTGGGAGCCGTGGTCCCCATCTGCCGGATGCGGGAGAGAGAGACTCCGTGGCGCTGGATCGACTCCACTCCTGTAGACCCAATGATGATAATTTCAGTTGTTTTTCAGGAACCACAATAGCGTCCGTTATATGAATTGTAAGGTATTGACTTAGGCTGTTTTGTGATCCTGAGTTGGGCAGACTGCAGTGCACTTTAGGTTCTTGTGTACCATAGCAAGGACACTGAATACGGCTTCGGGCGAGGCCGTAGAGTGGATCCCTATCACTTGGTAACTTTGTCTGACTGGGGAGAGACTTCTTGTCCTAGGGAGTAGTTCGAGATTCACGCGATTGTGGATTTAAGGGTGGTTCCACCCCTCCTCTCTTTCTTTTTCTTTCTTTTTTTCTTTCAGTTCCTTCTTGGAGGGACCACTCAGTAGAACCTCTAAGGGACCCAAATCCTTCAGACCTTTTGGAGGTAAGAACCCAAGAGCTGTCAGTAGAAGGAAAGAAGTTAACAGAACATGGGGGTGTCTGAGCCTGGCGCGTGGTGCTTACTTAGAATCCCAACTACTTGGAAGGCTGAGGCATCAGGATTGCTTGAGTCTAGGAGTTTGAGGCCCAATGGGGCCGTATAGGGAGACCCTGTCTCAAAAAAGTTGAAGTTGGGCTGGGGATTTAGCTCAGTGATTCCTCTGCCTGCCTCACAAGCGCAAGAACATGAGTTCGATCCCTGGCACCCCCCCACCCCCCAAAATGGTGTATCTTGAATATGTTATACTGCTATGGATGGATGGATGAATTAAATACCACTTAGAGGCTGGAGAGGAATTTGAGGGATTATCTAGTCTTGTTTTCTTCATTTAATCCAAGATATGATTAAAAATAATGGTGGGGCTGGGGATGTAATTCCACGGCCTGTCTTGCAAGCACAAGGTCCTGAGTTCAATTCCCAGTACCAAAAAATAATGGTGAAGCCAGGTGTGGTGGTGCACACTACTAATCCTAGCACTCCGGGAGGCTAAGGCAGGAGGATTGCTAGGAGTTCAAGGCCAGCTAGAAGTACATAATGAGACCCTGTCTCAAAAAAATTTTTTTAAAAATAATTTATTACAGGGCTGGGGATTTAGCTGAGTGGTGTTGCTGCCTGCCTTGCAAGTGCAAGATCCCAAGTTCAATCCGTGGCATCAAAAAAAAAAAAAATTACAGTAAAAGACACCTTGTCATTAATCTCCCTCAAAATAGTTCCTCCCTTCAAACACACCCGTCATTCTTGCTACTTTGTGCATCAGTCCTAGAAGTCCTCTTTTATGAATGACTTTAGTTGGGCTGTCATGGCTGCCTCAGTGTCCTACATAGATTCAAAACATTTACCTTTCATGGTCATTTTGACTTTGGGGAAGAGCCAGAAGCCATCCAGTGCCAGATCTGGTGAATAAATTGGACATTTTACAAGTTTACCTTTTATTGACTGGCACTTGGCAGCCACATTCACCTTTTTTTTTGTACTGGGGATTGAACTTGGGACCTTGTGCTTGTGAGGCAGGTAATCCCTGGCCCTCACCATATTTTTGATTATTCATTGTACATAAGAGAATTGAGATCCAGAGTAATTACCAAAACAAGTAGCTAGTGTTCAAAGCAAACATGATTTCATGCTAAGAAAATTTAGTGTGGCCAGGCGTGGTGGCGCACACCTTTAATCCCAGCACTCAGGAGGCTGAGGCAGGAGGGTCGCTGTGAGTTCCAGACCAGCCTGGGCTACATAGAGTTCCAGGTCAGTCTCAACTACATAGTGAGACCCTATCAAAAAAAAAAAAAAACCCACAAAAAAAATTTAGTGTGTACCACTCAGCAACAAAAATTTTGTATGCCACTCTTGACTTTAAAATTTATTTTATTTTATTTATTTATTTTGTGGTATGGCGATTGAACCAGGAACCTTGCACTTGTGAGGCAGGCTTGTTGCCACTGAGCTAAATTCCTGGCCATTTATTTATTTATTTATTTACTTTGAAACAGTATCTCACTATACAGTTCAGGCTGGCCTCAAACAGTGATCTTCCGGCCTCTGCCTCTGAGTCCTGGGATTACAGACATGCTCCACCAGGTGGGGCATTGTTTTTTATTTTGAAACAGGGTCTGGCTAAGATTTGCCCAGACTGGCCTTGAACTTGTGAACCTCTTGTCTCAGCCTCCTGAGTTCCTGAGTAGCTGGGTTTACATTTGAAGCCACCATGCCTGGCTTCAAAATTGATACTTTGCACTTAGATTCTTTTTTTTTTTCTTTTGGTACCGGGGATCAAACCTGGGTCCTTGTGCTTGTGGGGCAGGCAGTAGAACCACTGAGCTAAATCCCCAGCCCTGCACTTAGATTCTTATAAATTATGTAGGTGGGGAGGGCTACTAATCTTGAGGGTGTTTCAGTTTGTTGTGACTTTACCTTGGAAAGTTACAGGAGTGATTTTGAAATCTGAGGTCCCCAAACAGCCGGAGTGTGAAAGGAGCATGTGTTGCATTGATTCTGTTATGTGGAGACTCACAGGATTCTCATAGAGCTCACAGGTCCGGGTAGAACCTAGAGGTGAAAACTACATTCCCAGAAGCTGGAACTTAGTAAGTGCGTGTAACATGGTGGCAAACGGCTTCTCTCCTGTTCCTCACACAGAACCTAGATGACAGCGTGTTCTCAAAGCGGCACGCAAAACTCGAGCTGGATGAGAAGAGAAGGAAAAGGTAAGGCCAGAGGCGTCCACGCTGGGAAATGAGCCCTGGACCCCGGCCTCCCTCTCAGGCTGTGGAGAGTCCTGGGCCTCGTGGGCACTTCTGTTACTGTCGTCCCGGTTGGTTAAGTGTCTTCGTTGGAAGTGGTAGTCGTAGGTAAACACATTTGGCTGCTTTTTCTTCACGCGTGCCCCCCCTGCTGCCCTCTGTGGGATGCTACCCTGTGAGCTGGCCTGCTGGACCTAACCAACTCTGCCCTTCCCAGGCAGTCTGCTCTTGACCCTGCTTAGAGCTGTCTATAAGGATCCTCCTAGCTTCTGGGTTTGTGGGGCTTGCTTTTATAGAGCAGGTTTTGGCTAAGCAATAGCATTACGTTTATTTGTTTATCTTTTTTCTCAGGTGGGATATTCAGAGGATCAGGGAACAAAGAATTTTACAGCGACTACAGCTCAGAATGTATAAAAAGAAAGGAATTCAGGAATCTGAGCCCGAGGTTACCTCATTTTTCCCTGAGCCAGATGATGGTAAGTTTTGCTATCTATCTATCTATTTATTTATTTTGATACGGGGTGTTGAACTCTAGTCCTGCGCTTGCGAGGCAGGCAGCAGAACCAGTGAGCTAAATCCCTGGCCCTAAGTTTTGCTATTCAAAAAGGTTTTTCAAAGAAGAGAAGAGGGTGCAAAGCTCCTGGCTACTACTTGTTGTGAATGGGTGGGTTGTACTTTGGAGCTGGTGAAGTTGCTAGACATATCTCATCTGCGGCACTAACAAGGTGCCATTCGACTTTTTCCGTAGTTGAAAGTTTGATGATCACCCCCTTCTTGCCTGTTGTAGCATTTGGACGACCATTACCAAAATTAACTCCACAGTAAGTATAAAAGAAAATTTCTTCCCTCTCTTCTCAGGCAACCTGCATTTCATTTGAGGTAGAACCAGGTGGTTTAAGGATAGTCATGAGGCCGGGTGTGGTGGCGCATGCCTGTAATCCCAGCACTCGGGAGGCTGAGGCAGGAGGATTGCTGTGAGTTGGAGACCAGCCTGGGCTACTGCACAGTGAGTTCCAGGTCAATCTGAACTACATAGTGAGACCCTGTCTCAAAAAACAAAACAAAAAAAGGATAGTCATGATTATTTATTTATTTAGTTGATATTGGGGGCTGAACCCAGGGGTGTTCCACTACTGAGCCACGTTCCCTTTTTTTCTTTCATTTTTTGTTTTTGAGACAGGGTCTCGCTATGTAGTTCAGGCTGGCCTTGAACTCACAGCTGCCTCAGCCTCAGTGCTGGGATTACAGATGCATGCCACTTTGCCCAGCCCCCGCTCGTTTTTATTTTTTGAGACAGAGTCTTGCTAAGTTGCCCAGGCTGACTCGAAATTCTCTTGCCTCAGCCTCCCAAGTAGCTGGGATTACAAACATATGCCACCATGCCCAGCTTGCTGTGATTCTTTGATGAAAGTGAAAGTACACAGGCAACAGCTTTTACAGTAGTGAGATGCCTAAGCCCAAGATTACAGTGCTTTTTTGAGTTAAGACATTATTCCGTCCCCTCAGTGGTACACTGACTATGGCTGTGGCTTTGAGGTGGGAAGGACACCCCAGAGCTGAAATACAGGAGTCGGGGCCAGAAGCGATGAGGGACACATTTTCTTCAGAGTGATTACTGCCTACCCAGCAAATCTGTTATAGTCGTGCAGGTTGATTTCCTCATCCTTTCTCACCAGGAATTTTGAACTGCCCTGGTTGGATGAGCGTAGCCGATGCAGGTTGGAGATCCAGAAGAAGCAGACCCCTCACCGGACGTGTAGGAAATAGCTGTGCCGCAAGAACCCTCTGTCTTCAGATAGTTGTAGCACGCCATTCCCAGAGGAGTGGCGGAGACCTGTGTGTGTGACCTGTGTCCTCCCATATGTTGCGGTTTGCTGACAGGACCCTCCTGTACGCCTTGATTTGTTTTGTTTTCATCACTCTGATTTCACAAAAACTCTTTTATTGGGCTACTTGTGAATTATGGAGGGTGATTAGGATTTCTTTTCCCTTTTTAGGGAAGTGAGCTGTCAAGCCAAATCTAGGATGGCAGACTTGGAAGTTTCAGGGTGTACTGCTGTACATTTGCCGATACTAAAGGGGTACAAAGGCTGTCTTCCTGAGACACATGGAAGATAAGCCAACCTGCCTTCAGGAGCTGTGCGCCCGCCTGGCACTCTTCTCACCCTGGCATACCCTCCATACAGTTGGGGTGTAGTTTATACCCTAAAATAAAACAACAGAAATCCTCACCATGAGCATTAGGGCCAAATGAGAAATTGCAAGTGAAGTGATGAATAAGTCACCTACTCAGAGTAGGAAAGAGATCAAAGATTTGGTGAACAAATACCGAAAAAGATAGCTCTTCTCTTATAACTACTCTGCAACTTAGCCATGCTGGGAAGGGTATTGATTGTTTTCTTAGTTTAGTTAACAGGTAACTGATGTTCTTCCCCGACTCCTCAGAAGATAAAATCTCTGGAAAAGAAAATGGGGAAGTTAGTTTCGGACATCTTGCAGCCCTAAACAGAGGCAGTTGTCATTGGGGATGGCTTGCCAGGCCCGTACAGATGTCCTCATCACAGCCCTTCTCAAGTATTCCTTCGCTGGGGTTTATCTCACAGCTAGGCTCTTGGTGGTAGGGTAGAGGTTTGGACAGGGCGAGTGGAGGCTGAAGAAATATGTGCTTCCTTTGACTGGCAAATGTCTACATCTTGAAACAAATAGCTGTACCTGATGCGCTTCTCCATTCACTTTGTAAAAATAGATTTGTGTGTGTATTCTGGGTCCCCTTCCCTTACCCCTGTTTTGTTCAGAAATTTCAGGACAGCACTCCCAGGCCACTCTGGTCTCAGTGTAAGATCCCGGTTAACTATCTGGAAGGAAAATAGAGCCAAGACCTCTGGTCTTAACTATATAGGAATTGCCTTTCATTAGTCTAAAGGACTATTGTGTGAAAACAAGTAGGGGTCTAATCTCCTAGAAGGTAGGGGCTTTTATCCTTGAAGAGAAGATGTCCCCAAATTATTAGCACTTTTAGAGGAGAAGCCAAGGTATGTAGGGCGTGTGGCCAGCCCATTGGTGGAGCATGAGAGAATGGGTTTCCATTGTGGGAAGAGAAGAAAAGTTCCTCAGGGGCCTCCCACTGCTAAAGCTTTTTGTGCGATGTTGATCTGTGCTCCCTGGGTTTGACTTTGAAAGGAATTACTGCGGCAGCACGTGTAGTATTCTTGGATGATCTTGCTGCTCTTATTTCTCCTTTGTGAGCATGTGTGTGTGTGTGTGTGTGTGTGTGTGTGCGCGCGTGCGTGTGTGTACACGCACGCGTGCACATGTATGTGTGTGTGGCTTTCATTTGTAACTCCATCTGCTTAGGAGAGGGGGGCTCTCTGTAAAGGAACCTGCTGTAACCTTCATTGCAGCAGGCTGTAGAGAGAAATAGGACTTATTCCACTAGGGGCTCTCGTCTCACACCTTAAGGACAAGATTTCTAGAAAAACTGGGCCAGGTTTTCTTTGTTCTCCATTATTTTAACATGGCAAGCTGTTTTCGTGTTCCTACGCTGACCTACGTTATGTTCCTTTATAATGTGCCCAAAAAGAAAAAACCCCAATCAGTGTCTCTGATCTTGCTCATTTTCTTCTTGATTTCAGCCTTTGTCAAGTTCCTAATTTGGGGTATGGTTGGCAAATTTAACCTCCATGCTTTTGCCCTACACAAGGGACTCCTCAGACACTGAACTTAATTTAGATTGAGAGGAATCCATGAGGTGCTATCTGGCCAGATTTAAGTGGATTCTTTTCCCTTGGTTCTCCTTTCCCTGAGGACCTCTTACGTTACTGTCCCTCTTCTACATCAGTTTTCCTTTGATTTGGGGATGTTGCGATTTGTTGAGACGGATGTTGGAGCGAAGTTCCAAGAGTGAAATTACAGTGTGTTCGAGCGTGGAGGGAAAATTAGTCTTATTTTTCCCTACATGGGATACAACACTGTGAAATTCAATCTTCAACCGAAGGCCCTGCAGTTCTCCTAAAACATAGTTCTTTGTTTCTTTCTTTAACAAAGTTTAAGCTAGTGTTAATAAATTAAAGAGAAATTGCTTGTCTGTCCACTTCAGCTTTGTTTTATGCCCATTTCATATTGTTGTCTGTGTTGTAATTCATACTTTTGATACCATTTCTGATGTGTAAAATTGGTTGTCTTGTAAATATCTTATAAAGAGTTCAATTGTAAATAAACTATTGTGGCTGTTAATTTTTGAACTTCTGCTTCAATTTATTAATTTTGTTGGGAAGTATTAAATAATTCGGCCTAAATACTTGAAAGATTGGAAGAAACCGACTTCAGCAACAAAATAACACATTATTTTACCTTTGAACAGGGTACCCATTATATCCGAGTACTATATATGTTCCAGCTCTCTTTGTCCACAGTACTTCCTCACACATAATTGGCAACTCTAAACATACATGAGATCGGAGGATATTTGATGCCTGGTGTCTCGATGAAATCTTAGTTCGAAAGACCTGCCGGTCATCTGGTCTGACCCCAATGCATGATTTCTCCTGGCCAGTATTTCCAGACAAATGAAGTCTAGCTTCTGCTTCAACACAATGTCTCTTGCCATACCTTTTTTTTTTGGTACCAGGGATTGAACTCTGGACCTTGTGCTTCAAGGCAGGTGGTGGCACCACTGACCTAAATCCCTGGCCCTGCCATGCATTTGTTTGGTAAACGTTTGAAAACTCATTTACCAAATCTAACTTTCTGTAATTTGAACCCATTTATTCTTGCCTTTTGCTTTCCATGGTGATTTTAAAAAGTCTCCTTTTGCTCAGAGTCCTAACAGTTAAGATGACTGGAAATCTCTAACGCCTCTCTTCATCTAGAAATCTCACAATTGTTCCTCAGAAGGATTCTGAATTTTCAGTTCCCGCTGGCTGATAGACCAGTTTATGTCCGTTCAGAAGCTGGACTCAGACAAAACACCTGAAGGACAGGGTAGCTGACTATCCGTTTATTTAGATACTAAGCTTGGCAGCTGTTTTAGCACCGATTTAGCTTGTGATCAATAGGACTCTCCTTGTTTTCAACACTTACTAAATCATATATCCTCCATTTTGAACTCGGTTTTTAGAGCTGGACTTACAAATTGTTACATTCAGCCATCTGTCTAACCAATTGAGATTGTTTGAATCCTGATTCAGTCTGAAGGCATTCATAGTTTCTTCTATACTAATTTTGATAAACATCAGGACCCTTAACTATGTCCTTTATAAAAATATTAGCATGGATTCTTGGGCAGTATCAGTGTGACTTAGCTGACATGTATTATTAGCTCAGTGGGTGCACAAATAACAGCTCATGCATCTTATACGTCATTACATCCAGGCAGAATACGCTTTTTTTTTTTTCATGCTGGCAAATCCCTTGCCATAAAGTATTTATGTCCGGTAGCACTGTACAAGGATATCACGTCACGATTTTGAACCCAACACCGCTTTCTACTGATCATCTCTTTAAAGCGGTTCTTACGTCTTGGTAAGAGTTGCATCACATCATCCTGCACTCTGGGAGAGGTAACCGCTGGGGTTGGAAGACACGTGTGTGGGGGGATAAGGACACGCGGCCACACGAGGTCCTCTGGCTCCACTGCGGGCAACTGGTGTGGCAAATCTGACGCAGCATTATGGCTGTAGAGGTTTACCTTGACTTGTGATTTTAATAAAAAAAGAATGCATAAAATGCTTTGCCTCAAACGTAGGTGGAAACAAGAAAGCGAAACAGCCCCATTGTTGCAGTGGCGCTGGGACCAAGAAGGAAGGACCAAGGATCCCTAGGAGGCTGCGGAAGTTCGGCCCGGCCCCAGGGAAGCCAGCATTCGCGTCAAGCACCTGACATTACCAATGACGTCATACCGCTCGCCCGACAACGTGCCGCAGGGCGCAGCCCCGCCCCTCAAGAGCAAGGGACGACCCGGCGCA